TCTATACTAAAGGAGTCATGGCTGTCCACTTGGGACAGGACTGGAGGAACCTACAAGGATTTGCATGTTGTTTGTCAAGAGCTGGCCTGAACAGCAATTGGGAGTTATAGGGTGTCGCTATGCTTACTGGGCCTTGTCCACCTATGACCATACATCTGCAGTAGGTGTAAAAGCATAGTGGGGGGAAGGGATTTAAAATGGTCTCTGCTCAGACCGCGATGGTGGTGTTCAGATTCCTTCACTGGATACTGAAGCCAGGGTCTTCACAATGAGCTACATATTTGGCTCTTTTTCAAAAAATTATTTATTTTAAGATAGAATCTCACTAAGTCAGTAAATTGGCAAGACTATGTTTGAACTTGGGACCCTCCTGCCTCAGCTTCTCAGTCCTGGGATTACAGGCATGTGCTCTCATGCCTTGCTCATTGTGATACTCTTTTGGGTTGCTTTCTTCTGACTAAACAATCCAACTTCCCATTACCCTTTCTTCTGAACCAGTTGTTTTTATAGGCTAAGTCCTATTGCAAGCAGTTGTACAGGGAGTAGTATTAGTTGCTAAGAAATTTATTATATTAAATAATTATAGTAATAAGTGTCCTGGTAATAATATTTGTGTCTCTCTTTGCCATATGGAAATTTTAGAAAAATTCCTGTTAGGGTACTACCCCCCCCCCCCCCCCCCCCCCCCGGTAATTTGATGGAATTTTTTTTTTTTTTTTTTTTTTGTGGAACTGGGGATTGAACTCAAGCCCTTGTGCTTGCCAAAGAAGTGCTTATTCCACTGAGCCATCTCCCCAGCCCCTTGGTCACAAGATTTGCACTAGGTTATGTACCATGGCTGGTTCCAGTCACTAACAAAACTCAGCATCTTACTCTATAAGCTAACTTGCAGGATAAATGAAGATCTGGAAGACAGAGGGGGTGCATAGGCCTGGGGTGAAGAGCCTCCTTCCTTCGCACATTCATCTCCTTTTCCTGTGGCTGCTTACCCTGGCCAGCAGTAGCTGGTGGGGCCTGCTGGTAGAGGTGTCTAGCAGGTGCTGGCAGCAAAATTCTAAGTTGCCCTTTCATAACAGAATTCTGACTTTTTACCTGGGCACATTGCCATCCTGGTAAAAAAACACAATTTTCCAACCTAGGTGCAGGTAACTATTATTATCCTTATCATTATTATTGGTACCAGGAATCAAACTCAGAACTTTGCATTTGCCAGGCGGGCACTATGCTGCTGACCTTATATCCCCTGCCCCAGGCAGCTATTATAATTATAGGCAGTTAAATTAGATAGAAATTAATATACAGTTAGCAAGGAATTGGGCCTTCAAGAAAGTTAGCACAAAAAAACTAAAGACATCAGAACTGTGGCTAGAGGTGAGTTTGAAGAGGGCTGGCTCTCAGGATGGCAAAGGAATAGACAGGCCTTGTGTCTCCCTGGAGAGAAACATTAACTTTAAGTTATACTATAATTAGCACCACCTGGTCCAGATAGACATCAGACAGGTCGGTGATCAAAACACTTGGACCTGTCTTCCCCTCCCTCTCCAAGAATTCCTTTGTTTTTTTCCAAAGGAGAGAACTCTTGTCCCTTGCTACCTGACTTGTTTCCCTATTGGAACAATATTAGCTAAGTGGCTATACTTATAATCCTTTTTTTTTCCTTTGTATTTTAGGGAAGGGTCTACAGGGTATTCAGAGTCTCACTACTAGATCGGACTCCCAGTGATCTGCCTGTTTACAGCCTTCCAAGAGCTGGGATTACAGGCAAGCTCCACCACACCTAGTATCAATGTCTCAGTGTGCCCTCAGGGGTGGGGCTGGCACAGCAGGCCCAGGGATTGAACCCTCAGCCCCTGCTCTTGCTTGTAGACGCTTTAATCCACTGAGGTATTTGGCTGGCCCTATACTTATAATCTTGCAAGTTGATGATACTATGCACATTGTGATTTTGCTGTATAAATTACCCTCAACAAAAGGCCTTAGTGGCTACCCACTTGGAAATCCAGGAGCTATTCTTCTGCCTTTTATTTCCAATAAGACTCTCCTAACTTCCTCCTTTGGTTCATGACTTCACTTCTCATTGTTGTGAGACTACAAACTCACACGTTTGACATCAAACAAGTCAGGAGATATATTTTTCCTCTGTCACTATGATAATGACACCAAGTTTGGTTTGGTGGTATGTGAGAGGAAGGACATGTAGGATTTTCAGGAAGTCTACTTAACAGGAAGACAGTTTAAGTCTTTTTCTCCTTCTTCTTTTTTGTGGCCTGAAAAGTGGATGTGATAGTTGGAACTTCAGAACTCATCCTGGACCATGAGCCCAAGAACCATCATAATTTCAGATCTTGAAGTTCTATAGTAAAATTAATGCAAACAGGTATAGCATTTGACTATGTGAGCTTGATTACATGAGATTAGGGCTAAAAAGTTGAGAGTTTTCAAAATAAAGGCAATAGTTGAAATCTGGGTAGAGATGAGACTGCTCAGGAGTGAGGAAACCAGCAATTAAAGCAGAGCAGGGAAGGAGCAGCGGGAGGCAAGGTTTCCTTCTTTCAGTGGGTGGAAATTCAGGGTGGAAAGTGTCCAGTTAGCCTCCCCTAGCCCCTGCTGTGAGCGTTTGTCTTTGCACTGTGAAACTCATTGTCCTTGGGTGACTCCCACACAGGACCAGAAAGAAGCCACCCAAGTCTGGAATCACTTGCTGATGCTTTTCATTGTCCCGGGACCTACAACAGTGGCTTGCAGGCAGTCACTATTTGCAAGCTGGACTGAATTGAGGTGTGGTTGGCAAGGAAGTCACAGAAAGGGAGGGCTTGAGTGAGGAGGGAGCCTTCTGCAGGCCGAAGTGACTGGTGGCAGGGTGGTCGCTATCTTGGGAAGGAGAATAGGACAGAGGGATACTGGGATATCAGGGGATTTTATTTCTTTTCTAGTTAATCATGCTCATAGGCATAGGACAGGGAAGCTGAGAGGCAGCCACTCTTGGCCTTCATTCTGTTGGAGTGTATGACACTTTCATCATCTCAGTGGTTAACCCACTGTTTAATTTCTCACATCTGTATTAACATCTTTCCATGCCCCACAACCAGAATCCAAGTTCCTGGAACACGGATTGTTTACAGCCACTGTGCACTAAGGGGCTCTGCCCATGCCAATCTCCTTTCCTTCCTCCCAATCAGTGTTTCCTGAAAAACATGTGAGCTGGAAGCAGCCTGGGTCAGTGTGGGATGGTGCTGTATGTGTTGGTGACATGGTTTCAGAAAAAGAGGGGAGGAAGTTGAGCATGGTGGTGCATGCATGTAATCCCAACACTTCTCATATGACTTAAAGTTCTAAAATTATGATGGCTGAAGCAGGAAGATTGGAAGTTTGAGTCCATCCTGGGCACTTAACAACTTAGTGAGAACTTGCCTCAAAATAAAAATAAAGAAATAAATAAACAAAAAGGGTTGGGGATGTAGTTTAGTGAAAAAATCCTAGGTTTGGGCTGGGGAGATAGCTCAGTTGAATAAGCACTTGCCTGGCAAGTGCAGGATCCTGGGTTCAAGCCCCAGTAGTTTAAAAAAAAATATGCAAGAACCAGAGGAGACCTCACCCTAAGAAGGGGCAGTAGAAAACAAAGCCCATGGAGGAGGTATGAGTTAGAAAGGGACTACTCTGGCCTTTTCCACTGGTGAGGTGGACCCTGGAAGGAAGAAGGAAGGGACCCAGGAAGCCAGGGAGGGACAAGGGCAACAGTGATGGGTGCTTCATAGCATCAGGTCATGAAAGCAAATGAATCCACAACACTTAACCACATGGCCATTTTATTCTGTGTTCAAATAGCAAAATGATGGTACAAATGTCACTTCACATTGGTGATGAACCCAAGGCAGGACCACCTTGTCCTCAAAGCAGACAGGCCTGTGCCTGCTCGCTCTGAAGTTAGAGGACCCCATGCTTGCAGCTGGGAGGGCAGAGTGGGGCAGGGCTTCCCTGGCAGAGAGGAGGGATGACACACAGGTTAGGTCACCTGGGTGGAGACAAGTGTTTTAGGTCCTGAAGCCCAGCTTTCCAGTGCTTCAAGAGAGTTGAAGGATTTATAATTTCCAAGCTTGGTGGGGACAGTGGCATAAATCCATTGCTTTCTAACCTCCTTCCCCTCATTTCCCTTCTTTTTCTTTCCTTTCTTTCCTGTGCTCCTTCCTTTTTTGTATTATTAGGACTAGAACCCAGGGCTTTTGCACTGAGCTACGTACCCAGAGCTTTTTTATTTTGAGATGGGATCTCAGTAAGTTTTTAAATTGCTCAGGTTTTGCTCCAGCCTGCAGTTCTCCTGCATCAGTCCTCCAGAGGCTGGTAGTACCACGAGAAACTGAAGCTGAGGAAGTCACTTCTTTCCATCTGTTTAATTTCAAACAGCACCCTGGCCATTCCTCCTTCCATTATCTTAGGAGAAGTAGAACATCACACAACTCGGGAGATCTTTGAGGCTCTAGGCAAGAGCACATGTTGCAGCTCCTGGATAACATAGTCATCTTCATCTCCACCTCATTAAGGGTTCATAAATATGCACTGCATCTTATGCATGTCATTAAGATCAAAGTGAATTCTGGAACAAGCATGTATGTTGAGAGCCCCTGAGATAACACAGTAATTCTCAGTCATTCCTGTTGATAACATCTAGAGACTCAGGAGAGGTGCCTGGGCTGAGGTGTATATCCTTTAAATTCTGAAAGCCTGATTTTTTTTTATTTTTTATTTTTTTATTTTTTGTATCTTAGGAAAGGGTCTACAGGGTGTTCGGGGTCTTACTACTAGATTGGACTTGAAGTGATTCTCCTGTTTACAGCCTCCCAAGTGCTAGGATTACAGGCGCGCACCACCACATCCAGTCTCAGTGGCCATCTCAGCGCACCCGGGGGGCGGGGCCAGCACAGCAGGCTTGGGATTGAACCCTTGGCCCCGGTGCCTGCTTGCAGGCACTTTAATCCACTGAGCTATTTGGCCGGCCCTGAAAGCCTGACTTATGAGTGGCTGCTGCTGTGTGCTGTGTTTCATGAGCAGTGCTTTTCCTTTCCCATCACGCCGGCATGGTGATGGCAGTGCATCTCTGTGCCATAGCTTTCACTGGCATCGACTTGCCCTAAGCACAACTTTATGTGATCTTCACTCAACATAGCTGCTTTTCACTTGGTGTACTTTTGCAGTTCATTGCTCATTGTGCACAAGAGCCTGGGTTATACCTGCTCGTCACATGGTATCCTTGCGACTATGGGCATGTGCCACTACGCTGGGAGCCCAGCTTCTTTTCCAACTTTAACTCACCCAGGAACCACATAGGGGTGGGGTGGTGTGTGACAGGAGACCTGAGCCTCTTTACAGTGCAGTTCCATTCCGTGTGGCTGGGTAGTGCCTGAGAACCCGTATTGCTAACCAGCTCCCCACCACACTCTCAGCAGCAAGGATGTAATGACACCCTATTTTTCTAAGTTTGGAGTACCTGCCACCATTCATCTCCCAACAACAAAGGACTGCTTAGTGAACAGAGTGGGCCGCAAAGGGTTTGCTGGGCCCTGCCCAGACCATATGACTTTCTTTCTGCCCTTCTGTGTCCATCAGCCTGGGCACACCAGTGGTAAAACCTTTCTTCATTTAAGTCCCTGACCTGCAGGGAGACCTGGTCACATTGATTGGGCTTCTCTGTGTCCCAAGGCTTTCCCCGGATTTGATGGGAAGCCATCTCTGAAGGGGACAGGGGGAGTAGCTCTTTCTGGGAGGGCTATCCTGGCCTGTCTAAGTTACCTCTTGCTCCCTTCTTTCTCCAAGTGCTGGAGTGTACTGGCCTCGGAATTTCCATGATAAATTAGAGACATCACATTTAGAAATAATCTCCTCTATAAATCAGATGGCCAGGGGAGCAAGGGAGAGAGGAGAAGGGTGCTGGCAGCACTGGGCCTCTGCTTACCTGAAGCAGTCCTTTGCAGCCTGCCCAGATCCCCAGGTTAGATCCCCACTCTGAGGGCCCACACTTTGCTTGGCATTTTGTTGGCTCTGGGTGCCTAACCATGGCTGCCTGGTTGGGATCACGGGCATGCATCAGCAGCCCCAGCTTCTCTGCGGGCACCATGGGCCACCTGATGGCTTTGTTGGTGCAGACACTAGGATGTCCCTAGTTCTCCATTTAGATTTCCTAGCATCAGGCTTCCAACTAATACTCTGATTCATAAAATTCAAAATCATAAAATATTTTGATGATAAATATAAGAATGCAATTACCTTAAAATTGGTAAAGCATTTTTGCCGAGAAATTAGGAGTCCTTCTCAGTCCTCCCAAGCACCTCACTGTGGAGAAGGGAGAGGAGAGCTAAAGCCTGAGGTTCTTGGGAACCAGCCCCTCTCTCAGGCTACCCTTCTCTTCCTGCTTGAGGAGAATGCTGGGAGTCCCTGACCACCACTTTTCCCTGTAGGAAAGTGAGGAGAGAAATCCCAGAGGTATAAAACCCCAGTATGGCTCCTCTCTCCTCTTCTTGTGATGTTTTTGGGTGAAAGGCCAAGGCCACCTGCCTGCATTCCTGGCCAGAGATCAGGGCTGGTGGTGCAGCTGCCATAGCGGCAGCTCGGAGAGCAGAGGCAGACGCAGGACCGGTGGGGCTCCCTGGGCCTAGGAGGGACACTGGCTCTTCAGGCGTTTCTTCTTCTCCACTGCCAGGCGCAGGGCCTGGAGGAGCTTGTCTTTGTTATTCAGGATGTTGTACTCGGAGAGCTTCACTAGCTTGTCAAAGGCAGCCTCTGTGTATGTCAGCTCCTTGGTGGCGTAGGGAGTTTTGGGGCCATAAATGTCAACCTGGCCCAGCTCCATCTCTTCAGGGCTCCGCTCCACACCTGTGGTGGCAGAAAGACTTGCTGTGGACCCTTACTATGTCAGGCTTCAAGGACTCTTGCCACCCTGCACGAATGGACACTTGCACACAGATGTACACACACACACACACACACACACACACACGCACATGCACATGCACACTCACATCTTAGGGCAGGGAAAAGCTTTCCCATTCTGGGTTTGCCCCAGCACCAGCCAGTTCCAGGCACATAGTTGGGTGTCAAGAAATGTTGAAACATTAAAAGGAGTAGGTGGGGTGGACAGAGCTCTTTTTCCTTGCCAATGCCAAGGTGGTCCCAATTACAGTGAAGAGGGGCTTCCCCAAGTCTAAAGCAGGCACTTGCAGCTGGGGATTGCAGGACACTAGGGCCAGCGAGGTGGTGGCTCACCTGGTGCCTTGTACTTCTGGAAGGTGTCACTGATGAGTGGGAAGAAAGCCACAATGGGGACATTGGGATCCTCAGTCTGCTCCATCAGGTAGCACTCCTGGAGGTTTTGGTCATCATCCTGGATGTCATAGCTGGGGAAAGGGATGCCCTGCTTGGTGCAGTACTCGCAGGTCTGTTTCATAGGCTGCAACATCACAGGGGACAAGTGTGAGAACCAGAGGGCTGAAGGTGGGGAAGAGATGGAATTCTTGGACCCAGCTTCCTAATAACTATGGTCCCCACTTCTTTGACAGTCTGTGGCATTTTTATCAGGCCGGGATTAGAGGCCTCAGGTAGCGGGTTAGTGAGCCCCAGCTGCTAGCTCCTTCCCCACGTGAAGTAGAGAGGAACCCCCTGGCCACTCACTCACAAAAGCACCTGTGTAGATGTGGATGGAGCCTGGTGGGTAACAGGGACCAGAGCTGGGTATGCCAAGCTCCTGTGCACATGCATGAAATTTGGAAATGACAGTGGCACAGGGATAGATTCTGAAAAAAAAAATTTTAAAACCGTGATGCAGCAGAAAGAGCACTGAACTTAGTGTCCAAATCCCCTTGGTTCTACACCTATTCCACAGCTTGCTTGCGGTGTGACCCTAAGCAAGCCACATACCTCCCTGCGCCTCTGTAACCCAGAGACAATAGGGGCCATGACATCAGCCTCAAAGAACTTGGGTCAACCAGGGATGGTGGTGCATGCCTATAATCTCAGCCTTTGGGTGGCTGAGGCAGGAGAACTGCTGTGAGTTTGAGGTCAGCCTGCCTCTGCTACAAAGTGAGTTCAAGGCTAGCCTAAACTGCACAGAAAACCCTGTCTCAAAAAGACAGATGAAAAACAAAACAAAACAAAACTGGGGTCAGGACCAGGTAAGGCTGTGTGTTGGAAAGTGTGTTACGTATTTATACATTTAGATCATGATCACTGCTGTCATTTTGATCATTTGTCTGTATTTCCCATTCTTCAGCTTCAGGACAGAACTAGATCAAAGGAGACCAAAGCCAGGTCTTTTCCTGAGAAAGCCAGAACTTTTCAAACGTAAATACAGACCTCTCTGATCCTGGTTCTTTGGGCTAATTACACAGAGGACTATTGTCTGTGGGGAAGGAGGGTCTACTATGATTTTTTTGAAGCATGACATTCTACTCTTTAAGTGGTTTAAAACTCTAGATTAAGCTTAACAGCCTAAATTGTATGGTAATAACAATAAACTTCTCTTCTGGATGGTTAACAACCTAAGTTTGCAGACCAAAATTAGAGAAAAAGGAGGGCTGCAAGGAAAGCCAACATTTTGGCCCTAGCCTTCCAAGGTTAATTAAGACTCAGGACATATGAGAACTTGTACTGTAACGTCATGTAACTCGGCAGTGTCCCAAATTTTCTGATCAAGGAGATTATGGGGCCAAAGAGGAAAGTGATTGATAATGCAGAGTGTGCCTAAGGAGAGTCACATGGAGAGAAAACATTCTCTCAGGCTTTCACAGAGAGCACATTGGCCAAGCAATGTCCGTGACTCATCCACATGGCTGACACTGACAAAGGATCTACAATCTGAGGTACAGGATAAATCCTGAGGGAATTTCACTGACCTTATCAGACCCAAAAGCTACAACTCTTGTTGCATAGGTCCTGCTTTACCTTGGTCTTAACCATCCAGCAGAAAAGTATAAAAATGAAATATAAGAAGTAAAGCCATGCTGTTATGCTGAGCTGTAGGGGACTCAGGTCAACAATTTCTGACATTGCCAGTCAAGTGGAAGACCCAATACTATTATAGGCTACTGGACTCTTTTAGAATATTTTGCTGAGTTTACACACCTATAATATTCAGATAACGGAACTTAACAAAAAAAGGGTATACAGATGTATGTCCATTTTGTATCTGTGTATTCAAAGTGGTTAGGATAGATATATAGTTACATTCTCTTAATGAATAGAGTGATTTGTTCTAATGGTGTTTGTAAGTAGGATATCATATCCGCATCTTGAACAGCAATTAACCACTAGGAAGAATGTATGCAATATGTTAATTATTGAAACTGTCCTACCAATTTGAAAATAAATAAATAAATAAATAAATAAATAAATAAATAAAACTCTAGAGGGAACTAGGTTCTATTAAGTCCTCTGGCCTCAGTGCTGGGGATTGAATCCAGGGCCTTTGCACTGAGCTACATCACCAGTCTTTTTATCTTGAGATGGTCTCTTTTGTAATTTTTTTTTAAGCTGATGGCTAAGTATGCCAGTGCTCAAAGACAAGAATACAATTGGGATTTTGCTAAGTGAACTTATGTCTCCCCCAGGCCCCATTGTGTGTGACAGCCACGTGGCTGCCCCTGAACTTTGTGCCATGCCCTACTGCTTGAGCTCCTCCCATGCTAAGTCTCAGAGCCCCTGAGAGGGCCAGATCCCCCTGCTCACAGCCACTGAGGCCACCAAGGCTGTGACACTGATTCTGTTGCACCTGCGCTCAGAAAGGAAGCTTGCTCCTAGCACTTACCTTTGTCTGGGACCCTGCACAGTAATTGAGGTGGATGATGAGGTCGACTTTTCTCTCTTGCCTGAGGAGAGGTGCACAGCTGGAGTTGACAAAGAATGCTGTGTCCAGCAGGCACAAGTGTTTTGAAAATTCTGTCAGCTGGTTTGGAAAGGTGTCCAGCACAGTGTCTGAAAGGTTACCAGGTTACCAGGTTACCAGGGCGCCATGCTCTGAGGCACTTGGTGGCTTAAGAGTCCTACCTGGAGCTTCTGTCCTACAGCTTAGGCCACCAGCCCACAACTGCAGCTTCTGTTCTTATCTCTTCTCTCTCTCCTTTTCCTCTCTTCTCTATCCTCCCCTCCCCTTGTGATATTGGGGATTGAACCCAGGGCCTTTGCATTGTGCTATATCCCCAGTCCATTAAAAAGACTGTTTTTTTGGAGACAAGGTCTTGCTAAGTTGCCTAGGCTACCTCAGTTGCTCAGAGTGCTGTGTGCTGAGATTTCAGGCATGGACCACCACATCCCAGCCTTCCCCCTTCTGACCAGCACACTTCAGAGGCCCACAGTCCCTCTGGGTGGGATGGTGAGTAACGACACGCTCTTGGGATTTCAGCAAGTCCTTTATGGTTACACACAGAACCTCTCTCCAACCCAGGCACAGAGTGTGAAGGGCTATAGGGGCTTAAGACCATCCTGCAAACTAGGGCTACCCAGGGCCTGAAGCCTAGTGTCCTTCTACCCCAGATCATGAGGACAAGGGTTAACAGGCAGGACTCAGGGAGCCTTTGCATGTCATGGCCAAATAGAATATCAAAGAGGGCAGGAAGCCAGTCTTCGAGCCTTAGCACAAGGAGGTGATGAATGGGAATAGGAGAGCATGGTTGAAGACCTGGCGTTGCTACTCACTGTTCAGGGATTCCTGCTCTGGGCCACCCTGGCCCACTGCAGGGGGCACTGCCTTAGCACCCGTCCCTCAGCACAACTGCAGAAAACAAGGGCCTGTGTTTCCCCATTTGCAGGAGTGGTTCATTGCTGGATTGTGGTGTTGTGCAAATCTCTTAATTAAATACCCACAGCACACCCTACTGGCACACCCATAATCCATCCATGGCAGAGTCTCCCCACCCCAGCACCCCACAGGGGTGTGTGTGTGTGGGTGTGCATGGGTACCTTTCCACTTCTGGAACTGGCTGTTTTGGAGATAGTCATTGTGCAGGTGCAGCCCATACATGAAGTTGTGGAACTCAGACACAAAGGACCGGTAGGTGAGGATCTCTCGGAAAGTATTGGATAGCCAGGACGCTGGGGTCACTACCGAGGTCTCCAGGACATTAGCATCATATTTGGGGATTTCAGGCAGGAGGGGTTCATCTACTGCAGGGGGGGAACAGAGGGCAGGTGGCATGAGTTGGCAGACCCTGAGCACCCAGGAAAGCCACTGTCTGCCTGCCTGCCTCTAGAAGGGTCTGTAAGTACAGCTCACACCTTCCTTGCCTCACTCTCCAGAGCCTGGCCTTGGTGTTGGAGGTCTAGGTCAGAGGCTTAGGCCAGGGTCCAGCAGTGGAGACGCAGTGGTCCCAGAGAGGATGACAGGCCAAAAGACAGACTGTTCACAGGCCCTTGCTCTGCTGGGCACTAGAGCTGTCCTGGACACTTGGGCCTTGGCACAGGCTCCCTGAGGCACCTCCTTCCTGCCCCATATGCCTTCCATGTCTGTGGACCACAGGACAATGTGGACACATGGTGCAGGACTTCTGTTTGTGCCCCACTGCTTATCACTTCACCATGATGGAAAACCATTGGTCACCCACCGATGTCATGTCTTTCCTCCCTCGTCCATGTGTGGAAAAACTCTTCTGAGGTATTGCTCAGATTCCAGGCATCCAGCAGGTTCAGGGAAAAGATGCTGCTCCATAAACCTAGGGAATGGAACCGTTGAGCAGTCCACCCTGGAGCCTGGGCCTGCCTGGGCTTCCCTCCCATTCAGGTACTCAAGGGCCGGCACCCTTGGACTCCCTTCTCCCATGGGGCAACTCCCATGGTGCTGGGCCTCACTCATTCCCACCCCTCAGTGCAGGGAGCAGATGTGAAGGTGGACAAGTCCCTTCCCTGAGGGGGCTTCATAGTACAAGTGCACGCTTTGATTTCCAATCCAGATCTGCCCCTTGTGTCAATTCATAGAGCTAACGTGTTTAGAGTGGTGCCAAAATATGGTGAAGCCTTGATACATGCAATGTCATCTCTAAAGAATAATAGTAATAATAATATTTATCAACTTTCTTACATATATTATTGGCCCATTGGGATCTCCAAGGCAGATTGTACTCTTTTTTTTTTTAATTTTTTTTTTTAATTTTTATTTATTTATTTATTTATTTATTTATTTTTGTGTGTGTGGCCAGCTCTGCCCACCAGGGGGCGGGGCTGGCTGGCCTGTGGTTCTGGGGGATTGAACCGCGGCCCCTGTGCTTTGCTTAGCTTAGCTTGTTCTAAGTAGGTGCTTTAGACCACTGAGCCATCTCACCAGCCCCCAGATTGTACTCTTAAGTGCAATGCACAAATAAGAAAACCGAAGTTCAGAGATGTTAAGTAATTTAAGCAACTTCACACAACTAATAAATGAAGAACTAGAGTTCAAACCCAAGTGAATTAACTATAGTTTTCAGAACTATATGGCCACTAGCATAGGTGTTCAGTAGTTAGACAGGCCACTGTGGCATGGTAGTTTCTGGGTAGTTTTCACAAAAGATCTGGGTCAGGAGTTGGATTTGTGAAAAGGTTGGATTGGGATAGAAGGAAGAAGTTGAAATAAAGGGTGTAACTGTTCTACCCCAGGTCATGAGGACGAGGGTTAACAGGCAGGTGTTCTGAAGTCAGCCTTTGGCAGATGCAGTTGAGACACAGAATGGAAGAACTGACAATGAACGTCACTGTTGCCCCTGTGCTCAGTGGCCCTGGCTTGGGAAAGACTAGGGTCCCTGGGGTGGGGAGCTTGCTGGGCTCCCCCAGTGGCTCTGCCCTTCTGCCCATGGGCTGAACTGGCACTGGAAGCAGGCACACTGCTGCCTGGAGCCAGGCGCAGGGAGTAAGAGTTCCAGAGGCTTCTGTCTCCGCCTGCTACAGCCAGGCTGCGTCTGAGCCATCCCCAGGGACACCACTGGAGACCAGGCTCAGGAAGAGTACCCAGGGTCCCCGTGACTGGTGTGTGTGTTATGTTAAGCCTTTCTGGGCCAAGAGGGCCACAGGGAGATTAAAACAGCCTTGGGGGCTCTCAGGTTTCTGGGATAAGGCAGTGCTGGGGTACCAGGAAGTCAGGTGCCTGAGGGCTAACCTAGGCAGGCCAGCACAGGGGCAAGAGCTCTCCTGCTCCCCTCTAATACAAAGGTAAGGCCTCCTCAGCAAGGGGCAGGATTCCCAGGGTAGCCCTGCAGCCGGAATCACCTAGCAGGTAGCACATTCGCGACTCGGGGATCCTCTTCATCAGCCGTCCCATGAAGAACTCAGAGCCGAAAAGCTCGGTGGGGATGAAGGCCCCATACTTCTGCATGCCCACCTCGTAGGGGGAGAACTCGAACCACTCTGTACAGGGAGCAGCAGGGCGGGGTGTTGGCCCCAAGCCAGGGAGCCAGGCACCCACAGCCCCTCTACTCGCTCCTGGAGGAGCTTGGGACAGGGAAGCTGCAGTTCTCATAGTGGACAAAAGGGGCGCCCGTAGCCAGCCTCCGTAAAGCTGACAAACCAGCTTTGCAAGCTGCTGGGCTCTTTGGCTCCTCAAAACCAGATAAACCCGGGTCATGCCATCCTCTAATGCTAGGAGGGTCTTCCCCATCATTCTATAGTCAGCTCAAGCAATATCCAGGACTTGTTCCATTCACAACCTTGAAATTTTCCTGTCCCGTCAAATGAACCCACAGAGCCCCATCCATGGGGCAGGGCAAGGCTGGGGAAGCAGAATTGACTCCTTCAGTTTTCTGATGTGGAGTTTGGCAGAGTGTGGGTGGGGGGAGATATGGAGGTGCTGAGTGCCTCTGCCTACCTAGAAGGGCCCCTGCCTAAGTCACTGGCCACCAGTGTTACCTCTGAAGTCCTGGTTGCTTACATCATCCTTGACATTGATGGTGAGGTAGATGGGCAGGGGGTTCTGGCCCTGGCATACAGCAGCACGCTGGTCTGACAGTTTGTACTCACTACTCTGTGGGGAAAGAAATTGGTTAAGGAGAAGCAACAGACAGAAGTCACCTCCCAAGAAGGGGATAGTGGCGCAGGGTAGGAGTACCACATGGATCCTTGGCAGACATTTTTGAGCTCCTGAGCCCACCAGGCTGCTGTGTGGGACATAGACACCAATCAGGCTTGCTCTTCCAATGCTGCTGGAGGACGTTCCCTACCTCCCTGGGTGACCCACCAGCAACATGTGTGGGAAGACAAACAGTGTGGTCTAATGAGTTTGGGGGACTCTTTTGAAGGAACAGGTTAGGCACTCAAAGAACACTATGCTGGAAGTAAAGCCATAGTCCACTGTCATTGCCAAGGGCGAGAGGAAGTGGCTCCCTTTGTCAGAATGAAAGACCAGAGGCCTCCCACCAGCATTCTAGCCTGTTTCCTGGCTCTTCTTCATGCTAAACCCTCCAAATGTTCTGCCCACATGGGTTATTAGCTATGTCTGACTCCTTTGTGAATCACTAGTAGTGGCCAGGGAGATAGTTCAGCGGCATAAGCATCTGCCTGGCAAGTGCAAGATCCTGAGTTTGATCCCCAATACAAAAAATGAAAAGAAAAGAAAAAAAAAAAAAGAAAAGAAAAGAAACAAACCACCAGTAGCAACAAGCTCAGTTCTTGGCATGTAGCAGGTGAACAATTTAGTCAAAAGATTGAAGGAAGGAATGTGTGACTATTGACAATAAAGGTCAAATCATCCTTGGTTGCTCAAGTTGTCTGATTTTCTAGAAGATACCTTCTAGAATAGAATATCTTCTAGAATAGAAGATAGTCTGCAGCCCCTCCCTCTTCTGATAAATTTGGCTTTGAATGAGGAACTCCTAGGCACATTTGGGAGTGGGACTGGAGCTATGGGCCTGGGTATAAGTCAAGTGGACAGCTCTGCTTTGGGGCTGAGCAACAGCTGAAGCTCCTCCCTCTCTGGGCCTCTGTGGCCTGAAAGATCCAGCTGTTAGCTGAGCCCACCCTGATGTCCAGGGTCACAGTGTCACTAGAGGAACCCCCCTTCCCCGCTCCACCACATCCCACATGACTCTGCCAGTATAGGCTGGCTGTCTTCTGGGCTGCACATAGCTCCTTGGTCCTTAGAAGGAAAGAACCTGACTGGACACTTTTCCTGTCTAGTGGCCAGGAGACAGCGCCCCACACAACTCTAACTACCAAGAGGGTTACAGGCAAGTGCCCCAGCTGCTATGCTCTGAAGTTCATGGCTAAGTTGGTGCCGAGGTCACAGTCCTTTGAGCATAGCAGTGGTGCTGAGTAGGCCCATTCAGGGGACAGAGGACACCACTCACAGCTGGCTGTGACCAAGGGACTCTCAAAGGGCCTTGTGGAGCTTCCCTAGACTATCCTGAAGCCTAGGTTGCTTCCACCTGATCTTGTTTCCTTTCTTCTTCATTTAGGGTCAGACTTGTATCATGGTTGACAACTCTCCTTCCTCCTTCCCCATTTCCTTTTACAGCTCTCTTGGTGTGGCTTCAGGACAACATGCTGCCCATATATTGAGGTGCACCTAAGCTGCTTCCAACACAGGTCTTAGTCATCCCCTAAGGGGAGTGTGAGAAGACCATTGAACCACCTCCTGCCATTGTATATCCAATATCTGGTTCATAGTCTAAGGAGACCCCGGTGGGTGAACCTAACCTCTGTGGCAACCCCTGATGAAGAAAGCCCTGGAGAAACTGAATGCCTACCTCATCCCTTAGACAGGTCTCAAGCAGCAGGCCCCAGAAGTCTGTGAAGGTGACCTTGTAGCCTTCCTGGCTGCGCTGCCGGAGTTCCTCCTTGAATTTGAATAGCTGGTCTGGGAATAGGGAGGGCATCTTGTCTTTGACGGCATGTCTCCGGGCCTCAAAGACAGCAGGCTCTAGGTTTTTGGAGGACCATTCGGGGTCATGGTACAAGGTCGCCATGGTCCTGGAGAGACAAGAATGACTGATAGAGCTGACCCAGCCCCAGTCTGATCAGCTCTGGGTCCAGGTGGAAGAGAAGGTAGGTAGATCATGGGGAACCCTAAACTTGCCAGAGGAGCCTGGGAAAGAGGTGAGATGAGGCCTGGTGGTGGGAGGGAGGGTGAACTTTATTACTCATAATTGCTATCATGACTATTTCTCCAGTGCCTACTGTGTGCTGGGCACAGCATTAGTTAAGATGAAGATTCTGGACCCAGATCTTCTTAGGTTCAAATTTGGCTGTGCCATTCACTTGCTGTGTGGTCTTGGGCAAACACTATAACCACTCTTCATCTTAGTTTCCCTGCCTGTGGAATGAGGGGACTCTGATCATACCATTCTCATAATGATTGCTTGAGGTATCACAGGGTAGAGCTCTGGAACAGTGGCTGGCACTGAGCGAGTGCTGAGGCCACACGCAAGTCCAGGTGTGGTCTGTCCCAGTGCTGAGCTCTCTCTGCTTTGCATGTTCATTCCTTTTTATTTTTTGCAGAACTGGGGTTTGAACGCAGGCCCTTGTGCTTGCCAGGCAAGCGCTTATTCTACTGAGCCATTCTCAGCCCTGCATATTCATTCCTATATTTATGATACTGGCTAAAGACTTCTCATTTTCTTTTGAACTTATATGTGGGCCATGAGGGGGCGGCAAAACTAAGATGATGACACTCTCTGCCCCATCCTGCAGGCTCTTCTGGACCTGGTCCCCTCTTGTCTAAGGCAGAGAAGAGAGGGCTCCTCTTTATTCTGAACTGAAAATGACCCCTGGAGTAGAGCTTGCTGGGCTGAATTTATATGAACAGTGGCCTGTCTTTCACAAGATTTGGTCTAGGGAAAGTGGGATTAGGTCAGATTTCTTAGACAAAAAAATTCTGCTTTTTGTAAGGTTTACTGTGTTTTTTCATTTATTTATCTTTTTTTTTTTTTTTCTT